ATTTAAGTTGTATCCCCATGGAATTGATCCTCTAGGCAGTAGTCACCGAATTTCGTCTGCTTCACTGAATCATGCCTGGGACATCATGTGGTTCAAAAAAATGTAATTTTAATTGCACAGCTTCCATTCTATCTGTGATATATCATTAGGCTCAGGAGCGTTGAAACTGCTGTTGTTCTGTGGACTATTGGTGTTCTGGACTATCAGCATATTAAAGATACACAAAGTATTTTGACATCAATCAGAACAATTCCCATTGAGGCATGCAAAAGGAACGGTTGATAAACACTCACATTCCAGTTTGACCACGGAAAGAATATATCTCAAATGAGCTGTACAATTCATGCATGGAAGGATTCTGACTTTATTTACTGCTTGAAAAGAAGAATTTTATGGTTCATCAATTGCGAATGATTTTTGCAGTGAACTGAATTGGATGAGAGGATTTCTATGCTGCATACTTGTTCCTGGAATGACTTAAACAAAACTGATCTCAATCTGTGGATGACCTCATTAGCCTCTCAATGAGTGCAAAAATTCCAGCAATGCGATTGAAGTTCACTGCAGTGACTATAAATTTTTCATGTTTGAAAGTTCGTTTGTTCGGGATATCTTGAATTTATTGCTGCACTCAGGCAATTATTGTATGTTGTTGTTCCACAAATGCACTATGCTTAATGAATTTCTAAACGTTGTCATTAAGCAAACATATAAAAAACTTCAAACTGGGACTGCTGTGCTAACTCAAGCTCAACTTAGCTATAAGGTACAAATTTTCATAGATATTTTGCAACTGAATGAAAGATATGATCTATTTTCAGTTCAAGAACAACTAAGTAATGACTGATTAGAAACAAGGCACATACTTATAAACAAAGTATATAATCAGAGATAATCTAAAAACTTGAAAAAAAATATTTCGAAAAAAAAACTCTGCAAGAGATGTTCACTGGAAACGGGAGAGGCGACTTAAGAATGTAAGTTTATAAGGGAGTAAATTAAACGACTTCTGGGCTAATCGCAATTCTAATGCAATTTTTTGCTGGATGGATTAAATAGCAACAATGTGGTTTTTTTTCATTCAGCATGCAATGAAAAGTTCATATAAAAAGCAGTTTGAAATGTTTTTGTGTGTGCATGATGGAGTTCACTTCAATTCGCTTAAACAATTTAATTTGAAGTATTTACTGCATTGTGTTCATTGGAATGCTTTTGTTTATCCATCAGCACCATACAGTGTTGTTTGGTTTCTGAGAGTGCATTACAAAACCTAAAATATTTTGGTTTTACTTTGAGCATGTCGTTGATGTATTCTTGAATGGGTTTTTTGAAGATTTATAAGTTGCTGGTGTTGACTTCAGAGATAAAATTCGAGCAGAAGGTCATTTCGCTGAATGGCATAATGAGTTTTTTAAGGTCTGGTAAACACCAGCATGAACTATATGATGAGCATGCTCATCACAGATAAGACATTTGAAATAATTGAAATGGGAATTGAATCGAAATTCGGTTAATGGCTATCGAAAAAATTTCGGTTCAGAACTTGAATTTTTCAGTTGAGAATTTCTATGAAAAGCAATTTTGAGAACGAAATCATTTTTATCTGCTCTAATGGTTATCTAGGAAGCAGTGATCTCCACTGCTGCACAACATACACAACGATCATGAATCAATAAGCGTGAGCTACGGATATTGAATGATAAGAGCAGCGCTTTTGATTTCAAACGTGCTTGCAGGCAAATGAACCTGAATTAGTTATAGAATGACACCTGAACTCAGGCTAACATGCAACATATGTTTCATGATCACTATTAAGCTCGGGCTCTGAACGCTTTTCTATTCTGAATTTTCGGCACTGTTCAGAGCAACCAGTCATATTGCATTAATTGCAATCCTTTTTTAAAGTCAACCTCAGTGGTCTTAATTTGAGTTGAATCGGTTCATGTTATTGCTGTTTCAGAGCCATTTTGTTCCCCGGTCGCACCGCATGTTCCGATTCGAGAACGACTCTCTAGCCGTCGATGTACGAGTGGTATGTTTTACCTTTCAATTATCTCTTCCGATCATCAATATCCTCTTTAAATTGGCTCGTTCTATCGCAGTTTAACCGGCTGATCACTAATGCTTCCATCGTTCATACTCTTGATGAACCCATTCAAAGTTGTTTTGTGATGCGCATAAATATTGTTTCCATGAATGCATAATCATCACTATCATCAAATGGCTATCGCTATATAAGGCTATGGCCAGAAGTGGACAATATTGCGGCGCTATTCCACTGCTTCGTTATTTAGCGAAATAGCGGACTGATGATTTCGCTATCAGCGGAGCAGCTATTGAGCTATTCCGCTGGTTAGTGGAGTGGCGGAATAGCGCGCTATCGCCCACATCTGGTCATGGCTGATTATTCGATTGACTCAACCAGAGAGTGGAATGTCGGAACGTAAAATGATTTCAGTTGACGCTGGAAACGAAGCGGATCAATATTTGATGTGTTCATCGAATCCGTATCTGGCCGGACGACGTCGGCGAATGTCTTTGCTGCAAACGCTGCGGTATCAGAACAAACAACTCACCGATAGTGCTTTTGATTCTCCACGCAGTGTTGGCAATAAATCTGAACGAGGTTTTTGTCTAATCACTCAAATACATCCAACCATATTTCTTTATCCAACATAATTTTATCGTTGCTGTGACCAGTGAGGTCTTCCCTTAAAAATGACAATGTTCGGTGCGGACATCGGTGGATGAGTCACTTTTGTAGATGAGCATTTACTGCTCTGAACAGGAATAGGGATTAGTCGTTCGGGATGCTGAGATTGGGAGATTTGACCTGTCGCAAATGTTTTCTTAATTAAACAGTTTTATTCTGCAGTTCAGCAGTGCTTAGGGCTTGAATTGGAGAATTATCCCGAATGTCATAATTTGGATACGATAAACCGTTAGACGATTCTTGCGAATGTTCATGTATCCATTTTGATGGTTCATAAAAATTTCTTTGAAATCAAACTGTAATAAGATATCAGTGTATGATGTCTGTTTCTTGTCGACTTTTTCCGTACAACGAAGTTCATATCGATCACATAAAAATTTCACCTGTCCCGACTCCACACTGGCACTGCCATTTCATTGATATACTGATTGATTTTCGCTTTTTGACAATGACAGTGATGTTCGTAATAGAAGATGAATTCTAATTATCTCATTTGTGACAGATATCTCACCAACGGGTGGTGACTTACTGTCGCACCACAGCAGGCGATCAGCAATCGAATCACCTCCATCGTCTCAGTTCCAAGAAGAGTTGATTTTAAACAAGTCCTCGAACAGTCCATCGGCGTTATCGTTCAGCAAGCTGAAAGCAAAGTCAGTCATATAAGATATTCACTCGTTTATGAAAATTTATACCCGCATTTCTCGATTCTTATTGATAAGCTATCGACCAATTTGATTTCATGTGAAAAAAGTCGTTTAAGTCGATGTTTCTTGTCCGATTTTTTTACATTTATCGGTTCGCCGCAACAAAATTGAAAGTTGCGTATGGTAGGCATACTGACTGGCATTGTTGTTATTATTTGCAGCTGAAATCGCAATTTGTCATTAGCTCTCTGAGATAACTAGCTTTATTGTAGAACAAAAGCGCTGTTCGGTAAGCGAAGTGTCAGCGAAAAGAAATCCCTTGTGATTGAGCGGCGCTACACCGCAAGTGATGCTCACGGAAGGTGCTATCCCACTGACAGTCTCGAGCGATCGATGTATTCGCGAATTGATTTCTCTGCGAAAGGTGAGTTCTCATTTAATCAGCTAAACTTATTCGGCTGTCCCTGTGTCGAATGACTGAATCGATTTGCATGATTGCGTTCGATTGTCTCGTTGTGCACCTTGGTGTGTCTTATTTCAACGATATTTCGCACTGTAATTTACTGTATGGACTAGAAAATATTTTGACGGTGACTGATTGTTGGTACCGTTTGAAAATCAAAGCCATCAATAAATTTCTCTCACACCCATGTTATGACACCAGTGCACTTCTTTGATTTTTCACTTGATTACCCTTTGATTATGGTTGTTGTTTTCTGGTCAGTTTTGTTCGAGATCTTTTCCGTTCCCGTAAATCATACACAG